ATTTTTGAATGGCATAGAAATACATTCTTCTTTCTCCCTTAAAATTTCTTAATAATATCCCACAGGTAACATTATCCTAGATAACAAAAAATGCATAATTGATTCTTCTATTGTAAGCAAAATTCGTATAACAAGCACCTAAAGTCACACAGCTACAACACAGCAGTTAAAGATGACCTCGTGTGAAAAGGTAGCCTGAGTGCCGACCGAGAGCCCGAGCGCACCTGAGCATCCCTTCCTTTTCGCGGTAGACCAGACGAGTGCTTACTCAATGATTAAGGCTGCTTCTCCTACACTGGGACCTTGCTATGTTATACTTGGAAGTCCCAGCATTTCATCTTTTATAAAAAGTTAACTTGAAAACACATCTCTAGCTCTTTCTCTCTTCCTCCCTCCCTCCCTCCCTCCCTCCCTCCCTCCCTCCCTCCCCCCCCCTCTCTCTCTCTGTTTGATGGACTGAGGTGGGAGTAGACTCACACTCACGTGGTTTCAGCACACTCTGGTCCTACAGTGTGGAAGAACATTGGCACTAACATTGACACTAATGTGCACCATCAGAGTGCACACTGGTCCTGGAGATCCAGTTCTGAATATTTCCATGAAATGAAAAAGACCATGAATATCAGCTCTAAATGAGATACTAAAATTGATTTCAAATATATACAACACATTATGCGTATGTATGCACACACAGCCTAGCACACAAATTGAGGTGGTGGGGTGTAACTTTAGTTCCAGTGACCCGGGAGACTGGCAGGGGGAGGAGGGCTTGAGCCGGAATCAGAGGGAGTGTGGTACCTCTGATTTTGTCTCATGAAAGGGAAGGTCCAGGGTGCAGCACACTGACGCTGCTCTTGTCTAAGTTGTACACGGCCACTAGCTGGACCAGAAACAATGCAAACAGAACTATCTGTGCACTTGTTTTTTTTTTTTTAAATAAGATTCAGTTACATCTAGAGCAAGCCTCTCCAATGATTTCATACTGAAAATAACATATTGTTCCTTCAAAACAAGAACAGTTTAAAGAATCAAAAGGAAGCTCGAGGGAGACAGAATAGGCTTTAAAAAAAAATAGACAACAGATTATTCTGGAACCACGGGTGGTGGTGGCTCTCATTTCACATCACATTTGCACTGGAGCTGAGAGCTCACCGACAGATGCGGCATGCAACCAGACAGAAAATGAGCGCCAGAGGCCGCCCCACTGTGAACACCAGAGGCCCCCCATCCCTTCAGAGCTGCTCCCATCCCTCCGGACAGGCACACTCTCTTGTGCTGAGAGCTGTGAGCTCATCTGCTAGAGATTGTCTACATCTTCCGTTCGACTGGTCCATAGCAGAACTGTCCTTAAGGCTTGTCTGAAGCACAGAGCTACCCGTTTGTCTCTGAAACTTTGAAGCAGCAACCAAGCCCTCTTTAAGGCAGCAAAGAGAACAAAATGCAAACCCACGGGTTGGGAAGAAGACTCGACGCGGTCTGCAGAGTGCTTGCTGCACAGTCCGAAACCTGGGGCCAAATAGACATGTCAGAGTCATGTGGTACTGTGTGCCTGGAATCTTAGCCCTGGGGAAGGGGGGCGAAGACAGGAGGATTCCTGGATGGACAGATGGACAGGCCAGCCAGGACCAGTGAGCCCCACATTCACTGGAACTCACGGTCTCAAAAATAAGGGGGAAACACCCAAGAAAGACACCAACGGTGAAATGTGGCTTCTACGTGTGTGTGTGTGTGTGTGTGTGTGTGTGTGTGTGTGTACCAGGATAACCGGAATACAAATGTAAACACATAGACTTTTAATCATACCTATGCAATACAGATGTACACACAAAGACTTTTAATCATACCTATGCACAGGATATACATACGCAAAACACACACACACAAACCAAACAGTCAACTAAAGATACAGGAGGACTTTGACTGCGGATAGGTCATCCTCATGGCAGAACTATTCAAGGCCCAGCTTTCTGGAGATGATCAGGGAGTCAGGTTCTGCTATTTAGCCAGTTGTCAAGGTTCTGAGGGCTCGTTAAAAAAAAAAAAAACAGTAGCATCCCCCTTGTCATCATTTCATCCACCCGTGCCTGGACCCCACAGGTATGAGGTATCTAATAGCATCACAGGACCATGTATATCACAGGACTGCATCCTTCCTTCCCAGCAATGCAAACCTACACAGAATGTAACTCTCAGCGTTTGTGCTGATTATAGCTACCTGGGAGTTTCTCTTACTTAGGTCTTTAGTTTTGCCTCCAAATACTAAGAAAACACACAGGAGCCCAGAGAGGCAGACTTTCATCCTTATCTGGCTCTCTTTCAGCCCTTAACCCTTTCATAACTGGATCTGAACAGGACTCCGAATTCTCATCTCAATTTGGCTCTATTTGGTGAGGAGCACAGAGCGCACCAAGTTTCCGTCTCAGGAAATACCTTTGGACTGAGGTTTTATATGGAAACTCTCTCCCCAATTCTGCCAGGCAGGCTTGCAGGAGCCACTCCACGACACAGAGATTATGACGTGTTCTCCATTTTCAAAGATACTGAGTAAAATTGTAGAGAATATGTTTCCTTATGAAACATTAAGACTCTATTGTGTGGCTCGAACAATGGTCTATTATAAAAAGAAATTACTCGTGTTGATTATTAATACCACAAATATAGCCAACCAATTTGATAAACGTTTAAAACAGGTCTTCTTCTAGGAGCTTCCTTGCCGACTTCTCCTCAGAGAGTGCACTAGACAGCATCACTGTAGCTGAATTTCTACAAAACTGTCACCAAGAACTGATGTGTTCGCAACTGTGCCTCTAAATACTTAGTATTTATTGAGCCATCTCAACTTAAGTATTAATCGAGTCATCATTAACTGAGTATCTATTTCATGCTATATCCCAGGGGAGAGAGAGGGGGAGAATCAATAAGAAATCCTGGGTATTGTGTAGAGACAGACATCTAAGTGCACAGGTCACAATATGGAGCCTGATTAAAGGTACGGGAGCACAGGGAGAGCACAGAGTACTACTCACTGTGCGAGAACTGAGTGCACCCATCTAGGATGTGCTGACCCTTCACCTAGTCAGGTGAAAAAGCATTATTTGCCATGAAGATGACATTGAAAAATCAGAACGACATCCAAAGATTAAAGGTGCTCAGCCGTGTTCGTAGCTGTGTGAGAAGCTGGGCATGGCCAAAGCATTGCATCTGTGCAGAATACAGAAGAAGCCCACTCACAGTGTGGGGTGGTTTGTGTGGGAACTGCTGCTCAGGTGAGGACTGGAGTGAAATCCTGGAAGTAACAACACCACACACACATTGGACGGTGAGGAATACCATACAACCCTTTCTCGGGTAGACAAGTCAGTTGGAGAGGGGAGAATCATCTAACCGAAGGGCTCAGAAGTTGGGGTGATGATGTGTTCAAGTGTCCACGTGAGAAAAGAAAAGCTGATGAATACAAGAAATATCCGAGGCAGAGACAAACTGTGTGGTGTGAGAAAGTTCCAATGTTGATATCGCTCATATGAAATGGGTCATTGGCTTAGAACCCCCCCCCCCAAATTATACCACAGTGGGTCTCAACCACTTTGGGTCACAGAACTACTGAAGGACTCACTAGAAATCATAGCACAACTCAGATCCATCATTTCAATTTTTGAATACTTTTATTACTATTGTGAGCCTATGTGTGTATGAGCATGGGCACATGTACACCAGGGTCTACGTGTGGAGGCCAGAGGAAATCTTTCCGGAGTTGGTTCTTTCCTTCCAGATAAGTTCTGTGGATGTAGCTCCCTTCGCTAAGTCGGTATGGCCAGCATCCTTCCACGTGAGCATCTCACTAGCTTGTTATATACGCTCATAAACAGAATTCCCTGCTTCAAGGAGACCCATAGATCGTAGACCAGAACTTCCTCGCAGTGTCCCCAATGTCGCCATTTTCAGCAACTTAATCTGCCTCTCTAGGCTCATTCATCTTTGAGTGTGCTTAAAATTATCTTATCGTTATCTTGGCACCGTTCTTTGAGCCATCCTATTTATATTCAGCCCTTCAGCCTTATATATGTATGTCACTGTCACAGGGAAAAACCCGTCCAAGAAACAGTCTTGGTGTGGTACTGTCTGAGAGCAGGCAATAGTCAAAATAGTAAGCAGAAGTCACATCAGTCACATCACAGAGACACAATAGCAGGTGGGGAGCCTGGTTGCTCACCCTGCTGACCGCAGTGTTCCGTACCCACCTGCTCCCTTAGCCTGGCATTGGACGGTAAGTGGCCAAGTGGGGAAGAGGGAGCAATCGTGGAGAATGTGACCGAGCTTGTCAAGCAACAGACAAGAAGACATAAACTATGTTTGAGTTCTTGTGAAGGAAAGTCAGGACCATGGGCCCAGAAGTCAGCCTGCCTTGGTGAATCCTGGCTCTATGACCTGGAACATCTTTGACATTCACCGTGCCTCAGCGTCCTCCAATATAAAAGAGAATTAATAGTAGCACCTCACTAGATTTACTGGATTGTTGGGAAAGTTATGAATTATTGTGGTTTTAAGAAAGGCTTATCCCCCCCTCTTTCTGTGCGTGTGTGTTGTATTAGCCAAAATCTGGACATAAGGTCAAATGATTGGAGGAAGTCTGACCCACGAAGACTAGCAATAATGAAGGCAGGCCTTTACAACTAAACTTCCTTCAACATTGCATGAAAAAGCATAAGAAAACGACTTTGATTCTTGCTAACCTTAGCCATGTCATCTTAACATGATAGTTGCATGTTGTATGGATTCTTCCCTAAGTCTGTGTCAGAGACAGGATCCTCGAAAAGCAAACAAAGAATTAAATATCCTTTCTTATATCCCCTTGGAAAAAAAACATTTACTTGAAGGAATTCTATGAAGTCTGAAGTGAATCTTCTCTGTGATTCTCAAACACATGATCATTTCAAGCAAAGGGCTGAAGCCAAGCTATTAGAGGAATGGGCTGGTGGACGAGGAGACCATAAGAAACCTACCCTTGTGTGGTGCTGAGCAGGGGGGTCCCTAGGACCACAAGTCTCTTGCGTCAGCCGAGAAACTGGCTGAAATTCCTCAGAGTGAGGCTTGTTGGGGAAACTCACATGTACGGGAAGGTGAAAGGCTGGGAGCCTCTGGCTCTCCTCCTCTTCCAATTTCTGTCTGCTTGTCACCATGGCTACCTCTCCATCTGTCTCCCCATACGGAGAGGCTGGTCGCTTGGAAGACATCCTGGAAGGAACAAAAGAGGAGAAAATAATGAAACCTCCACATAAATCCTTAATGCCGTCATTGTGTGGTGAGGGGCCATTGTAACAGAAATGCCTTTTTGTGCTGGCGGAGAGCAGGAAGCCATCCAAACACCACTGCACAGCACACACAATCAGAAACAATGGCCAAGCAGGTAGCGACAGAACGGGGCTTGTTTGCTGTGAGAATAATACGTTAATATAGCACTCTCTTGTATTCTGGCTTCTTAAACAAGAAAATTCACCTAAGAACGCCGCATAATGCAAGTCCATTCCATTTTACAGGGGAAAAAAAGTATCCGTCTAGTTTTACACTTTGATAGACCTTATTCAGAACAGAACATCTGTGAACAGCAAATACTATGGGGCCGTTTAAAAGAAAGAAAATCACTAAAAATTCCTCTATCAAAAAAATATATGTAATAAAATAAATACATGCTCTCCGCTCTAACAAGTTTACATTGCATTAACAGTGAGAGTCCCAAGGGACACAGAAATATGCCCAGAAGCAGTCCTCAGAGAAACTGACAGAAAGTTTCGTATTTGCTCAAAACTTAAGAGCTACAAACATTTTATCATTTGCGTCTAGTGAAACATTTAACGTTCAGTTTTCACACCAACATACTGAGGGAGCAGATCCCACCCGGATATCTTTTAAAGTTCCGTTTCTAGCTGCATGCACCCATACACTGTCCCGATGCTGGTTTACAGTATTTACTCCTCAGAACACTTAAGGCCAGAACAGAATCCCCATGCTTTGATTTGGTAAGCGAGGCTGAGAGAAGCAGGCCTTAGATGAAGGGACAAGAACCGAGCATTGTCTTTCTGATTCAGTAGGTTTCAGACTATCATCGGAGCTTAAAACACACAGCAAACCTTTTCAGTGAGGGGGTAGCTCTTTCTCCCATCATGAAAAAGTTTTACACAGAAATGGAACTGAGATAAAACGCCTAGTGTAAAAACAACCGGCTGTCCTGTGGTATGTACAGCTTGATCTGAGCCTGAAAGAACGGCTCTTTTTTTTGTCCTGGTTGTTTTTCAACATACAAAGAGTGCCTGTAGAACCCTCCCCTTTCATTCTCGTCCCGTGGGACAAGAGACAGATATCATATTCCCTGACAGAGGTCTTTACTACTGTTATGCAGAGCATAGACTGGAAATTTCAACTCTATTTCCAAACGATCTGTTTCTCATCCCTGACGAGTGGTTCTGCTGTTAATGATAGACTCTTTCTCTTTCTCAGATTATTCTTCTTTAAACTGAGAGATAGCATCTGCCTCTTAAGGTTTTTTGGGGAAAAAACCCAGTGGAGTCCCTGTCTCGGGCCAGACGCTCTGAGTGCAAGCTCGTGCTTATATTAAAGAAATCAGACCCCCACATCAGTCTCTACGCTCAAAAAAATAAAAAATAAGAAGAAAGAAAAAGAAAGGAAGGAAGGAAATAAAAGAATGGAGCTTAAAAATTTCTTCTAAGAGTTTAGCTGTACAATCACCGTGCAAGTCAAAGTTGCCCTCAGAACCTTCCAGACTTGCCGTACATTGCGTAAAGGAATAGAATAAGTCACCAAGTGCTCTTAAAGGAATCTTAACACTGGTGCTATTGACCAGCAAAGATCCGAGCAGATCAAGGAAGGGGCGGGAGTATCTACAGACAGCTGTCACACGAGCGCTCAGTCCTCAAGTACAGCTACTTCCGACTCCAATGCAAAGGCTTACCCTAAGTTCACTACAAATGCAGATGAGGGTGGAAAGGCTGAACTAAATCCAGTTAGAATTGTTTAGGTCTCATTGGTAATGTGGTTAATTACATTACTAGATGTAACCCTGGGAATGCTTGGATCTTAGGGTTCTGTTCCATTTTGGACCAGCGAACCCCTCATCGCTTATTAGAAGAGGATGCTCAACGTTTAAGGTCTTGGCGGAGAGATTTGTCAGAGCACACTAGTAGGACGATTTTTAACCTTTGGTTGTTTCATTGTGATGAAGGCTCTATGCTTGTGGCTTGCAAGAGCATCTGTGTTGTTATGAGAATTGATAGATGGTATTCTAGCGTCCACCACCACAGCCTCATGTGCATTCAGTCTTCCTATACTTAAAAATTCTAGGCTACTGACAACCCTTGGTCCCTGGTCACCAGACAAGAAAGCTGGCTCAGCTGGCCTCCAAAGTCTTCACGACTCTACCATTCTTAGAACCAAGACCAAAGTGCTGATTTCCACTATCCTTAGTAATGAAACTTCAAAATACAGAAGGAGAACCATAGAAAACCAGGTAGAAAGAGATGTTAGTCCTGTTCTCAAGGTGGACAGCCACCTCGGGACTAATATCTACAGTTCGTGCAAGTAGCTAGGTGATCTTCCTCAGACACAGCATCCAATGGATTCAAAGTTCAAGGTCAGGACACTGGAAGGCAACTGATGCCACCAGCTCCATACTCAAAGTTTTGTCAGATGTCCTTTGCATGTTGCCAGTTGGAAGCCATGCTAATAAACGTCAAGTAATGCCTTCTGTAAGACAGGTACTTGCAGTGAGAACATGCATGGTGATGATTCAGTAAGGTTAAATTGGTAAAAAAAAAATCCAAACAAATTATATGGAGAGCCTCAGCTGCAGTCTTCACAGCAGTGAGCAGTGTCCATGTTTCCTGTCACCCACCCTCGTTAGTCAAAGGAGCAATGACAATGGCATTTCTTCAGTTCTGTCTACCAAAGGGATCCATTTTGGGTGGAGCCCAGTCACACACAGTTCCTGAAATTAGGGAGGCATCACAGATTCCCCTTGGTTTAGGAGAGCCGCAGCTATGACACTTGGATGGCTGTGTCGCAGGGTGAGGGCACCTTGGGGCAATCTGAGTATAATGTATATGCTTTACCAATGACAAACACCCAGACTACAGAGAAACCATTCTAACGCAGACAGAATTCAAGATGGCGGCGCCTTGTGGGACAGTGTTTCACGAGAGTCATGGTAGTGTCTTAACTCACTTTTGTGTCTGGCCAAGGAGACGTTCTTCAAAGAATTCATGTGTCTTCTAGACTGAGAGAGACATTTTTAAATCACCAATAAGAATTGATCTAGCCTTAAAAAGTGCAAGACACCATTGGTGTCTCTGTTTCAAGAGTTGCATGAAGTGACTAAGGGGATTTTATGTACAAGGAATAGAAACAGTGAGAGACTTCTAAGGTTAAGACCCAACCAAGCGAACTGTGGCACCCCCGTGCCTGGTTTCTCACGGCCAGAGGCTCTGGGAGGTACCAGAGAACGGTGCACCTGGTGCACGTTCAGGGAGAAGAATGACAAAGAGGAATGAGAGTTTGGGGATAAATAGAGCTGGGTTTCGTGGAGGAAGGAAGGGTGGAAGCTGAGATGCAGACGGAGACACTTTTAGAAAGTCACTATAAATTTAGGGTTCAGGTTTATTTAGGAAAAGGAGCAGATTGAGAAGCATGGATGGAATCCCATCTCTCCTCTCTAGCGCTCCTGGGATGCTGAGTTACATGAATGGAGTAGATAAGCAACGGTCCCCTTGGAAGGAGAAGCCGGCTTTCGCTTTTCGGAGTCACTTCTGCGTTCCTCTCTACTGTAAGGTTCTGCATAATCATGCTAGTGTGCTAGTGAGCCAGTCCTCCCAGAATGACTGGGTCTCTCGCTGCCGCAGCAAGGGTCTCTCTGCACGGGGAACGCCCTGCTAGCGGTCCCTCGTGGAGAACACACGTACCGGTAGAAAGAGTGGCTCAGACCGCCACCAGAAAATGAAACCAATGGTGCTCAGCACCAGCGACACAGCGGGCTGACCCTGGGGAGGGCGGTGTCAGAGAGTCAGGATGCCCGCGTGACTCCTCCGGGAAAGCTATTGGCATGGGTTCCTAAGTGCAGACTAAATACCAAAGCCATTTAGAGCTCCTCCGTAATTCTAAAATAGTGAATGCCACAAAGCCCAGGTGCTCATCAAAATAATGCCCCGCCCACTCAAGACACCTGGGCTCTAATCCCTGGAGCCTCTGAAAGTGTCATGTTTGACAGAGTAGGTTTCAAAGGTGTGAGATGTTGAACTGGGAAGGTGATGGCGGGGATTGTTCTGGGGTCCAAACTGACCCTGGCGCTTTGAAGATGGAAAGCCAGCAGGGCCCAGGAAGACTCAAGGAGTCAGATTCCAGGCAATGGCTTTCAGTGTAGAGAAGATGGAGCAAGGGATACAGATGACGTCTGTGTATTGGAGAAGGTGACAGTTCTTCCCGAGAACATCTAGAAGAGACTCGCCCCAGAAGGTACCTTGATTTCAGGACTTCTGACCTCAAAACTGAAAGTCAAAGCCACTCGGTGTCAGCAATGGGACACTAACACCCCAGCCATCTAAATGTACAGATGCCACACTGGCTGTTCCTGAAGTCTCTTCCGCCCCACACGGACAGCCTTGCTCTCCGTCTCTAGCAGATTTCTCCTCAAATCTCTCAGATTTCTCAAATCTCCTCAAAAGAGTTCCTTCAAACACTCTCCAAAGGCCAAGCTCCTTCCTCCCCACTTTTCCCGGGCATAGTATTACATACTTATTTCTTTGTTTATAATCTGCCTCTCCCACTAAAATTTAGGAACAATGGAGACAGACCTTTTCCATTCACAACTTCTTGACTTATATCTAAACATCTCTGAAAATGATCTTTCGAAGACACCTGTTAAATGGACAGCTACTAAAGCAGGGGACCTCCTGACTGCGTGGGGACAACAGTGACGACAGATGCTGGCAAGTATGGCCATGCGGCAGTGTCGCCTCTCTTCCTGGAGTTCCCACAAGTGTCGGTGTAATTTCTACCTTCTCATGTGCCGACACTCATACATCATGGTGCCTTGTGCGTGTTTGCTCCCCAAATCTTATTTTAAAGTTCTTACAGTTATGTTTCAAATATGCCGGGAAGTCTGGAGAGATGCTCGGTGGTTACGATCGCTCACTGTGCAGTCATGCAGATCAGCATTCTGGTCTCAGTGA